GCAAACGCCTGCGATGGCACAATACGGGCCGGCGGAATGAGCGAAGCGATTAATAAAAAGATTCCCCATATTTTCCTACAGTTTCTGGGTTTTTGTCTTCCCCATATTTGCCCATATCTTCTGGGGGATCGACGATTACTTGTCTCTGTGTGTTTTTTCCCTCCTGATCAGACAGAGGCGTTCCCCACCCCTAGTTCGCTGCTGTTTGCAGGGAGATCGCGGCATCATGTCACAGTTGCCTGCCGCGGATGATGGCGCGCCTCATCTGCGCGAGCGCGGGGGGGGATGGGGCGGGGAGAGCAGCGAGCGCCACCCCGAGGCCGGACTGGATGGAGCCGCGACGGCCGGGCCAGGCGAAGGAGCGGGCCTCGGACCCAGACCTGACACCGCTGGAAGGACGGGGGAACCCCCGCAGACGTCGCCACCGACGCGCCCCTGGGCCCCTGGGTTCGAGCGCTGGACGCAGACGGCCAGGTCCACGCAATCCCCCCTGATGCGGCCGCCTGCCAAGAGCCCCCCTGGCAAGGCGCCCCGAAGGCTCGCGCGGCCGCCGCTGCTCGGCGAGTCTCGGGCCGCAGTGGCGCCCAAGAACCGGCGAGCTGGGCCCGCAGGTCGGCGCGGCGCCGCCGCCCCGGTGGGAACAGCGCCAGAATCGGCCAGAATTCGGCGGACAGAGCAGCACCCCGCCGCCCGGTCAGCCAGGGCCCCCTTCGCCCCCCTTCGCCCGCCCCCCCCCCTGCCAGCGGCCCGTCGACGGGCCCCCCTCCGCCGAGGGGCGGCGACAGCGCCCCTGGAAGAGGCAGCCTCGCGGCGGCCGACTGCGGCGGCGGCGGCGGCGGCCCTCCCCCGCCTGGCTCGCGCGGCCCCCCCGGACCGCACGGGCCTTCGATTTGTCTGGGGCAGGCAGCACCACCGTCCCGCTTCTAATCTAATACCCTATAGCTCTCAGGGAGCTCTCCGGGAAAAGAGGCACTCATACTTGGTAGCGTCCAAAACCCGGAGAGCAAAGAGGCACTCCCCGTGGAGCTGGCGGAGACCTCGCACAGGACGTCGCCACGCTCGGCGGCGCACGCGGGGAGGAGGGAGGGCCAGGGGGCGGCGGGGATCTCTGGGAGGCGAGGGGCCCCGGGGGGGGGCAGTGGAAGGGGGGGTCCTGGCACCGCCGCGCGCGCTGGAGAGCCCCCGTCGCCGCGGCCAGCTTCTTGGGTCGACCGGCAAGGGGTGGGCCCTTCGACCGCTGCTCGTCCAGCGGAGCTCTCGTCGCCACAGCCGGCCAGCGGAGCACAGACGCCGGGCCGCGAGCAGCATGACAGACGCCGCCGGCACCGTCGGGAGCAGGACGACGGACTCCTGCCGCGCGACCGCGAGCAGCAGGACGCGCTCCGGCAGCAACATCGCGAGCAACACGACGAACAGACAGTGAGCAATCAGAGGAACACCAGCACTGCAAAAGCGAGCGGCCAGACGGACTCTGCCGGGCAGATCAGGCTGACGACAGTGACGCCGACGGAAACAAGGCTGGGCCCAACGCCCCATCCGACGCCACTGTCGTCGCCCAGCCCTGCACTCCTCCCGACTCCTCTCTCGACGGCGCCTCGACCAACGCCCCTCGCGACGACGTCTCTCGCGGCTCCCTCTCCAACACCCCCCCCCTGACATCCCTCCCCACGCCCGGCCCGCCGCCCCCCCGGGCGCCCCTGCCCGCCCCCTGTCCGCCAGTCGGGGCGGCGCGCGGCGTCCGCCCCTGCAGCCCGCCAGCTCAGCCCGCTTGGCCGCGGCCGGCCGCGGCCCCGTGCTCCCCAAGCTTCGTCCTGCCGGGGCACCTCGCTCCAGCCAACTGCTGCGCCACCTTGCCCTCTTTGGCCAGTTTCTGCGCCCCCTTGCCGCCTCAGGCGGGGGGGCTTTTGGTTGCCTGGCCGTTTCTCCCCGGGCCGGGAGGCGCCTTTCACCGCGCGCGCTGGCCAGGGCGCCGGCGCTCTTGCGCCTCCAGGGATGCGCTTGGCCAGTTCCGCGGGTACCGCTCGTGGTCGGCGCCTTTTCTCTGTCTGGCTGCTTGTCCAGCGGCGGCCCTGCCGCCTTGCTGCCTGCGCATCGGCATGGGGCGCGGGCCGGCATGGCCGCGGCCCGTTTAGTTTTTGTTTTCTGCATCGCACCCAGGGTGCGGGTCCGCACCTGGGGCGGCAGTTCGCATCTCCTGCTGGCCTTAGCTGTGTGTCAGCTTGATTGCCGGCATCCATGCGTTGGCGTAGCCCGTTGGCGGGTTCGCTTTGCTCCTTCATTTTTTCGCGTTGTCGCCCTCGGTCGGCGTGGTGCGATATGTGAGGTGACGCGCACGGTCTCTATTGAGCCTAGGTGGTTGCTCATCTTCACGTTTTGCATTGACGTGCCTTCATGCTGGCTCTTCGCGTCTTTGGCTGCGTTGGGGTTGCTATTTTAACGCTGGCGCCTGCACTGCACGATGGCCATGCTGGCGCCTGTCCACCACCCGTGGCCATGCTTGCGCTTGTCCACCAGCCATGTGCGCCGCCGCGCGACGTGGCCGCTGCTCGCGGTCGCCCGCGTTTAGCCTGGTCTTTCGTTGTCCAAGACTAAGTCAGCCTCGGCCGCGTGATCATCTTTGTCACGCCGACGTCTCGCATTATGTTGCGCGGTCACTTATGTGTTTCGTGCCCGTTGCAAGGCCGGTGGCGTCGCTTTGTCGCGCAGCTCCCTGCGTGTTTGCGCTGCCACCAGGTAACTTGTCCGGCAGCCTTACAAGTATTGTTCGTTGCCTCTTGGAGCCTCCATTCGAACCAGACTGCTGGTTGCGCTTCAAGCTTCCTGCGTCGAATTTTCGCTCCGTGAGTTCTTTGGCCGCTGCATCTTGGCTTTACAGCACCTCTCTCCTTCCACCAGAAATCTGCATGGCTGTGACTGGACTCTTTCATCATGGCGCGCTCGACGAAAATCGTTCGCAATTGGCACCTCCACCTGCCGACCGCGCCTGAGGCTCCTCGCCGCCGCCGACTTCAAAGTGTGTGTGTGTGTGCGTGTGCGTGTGTGTACACAGCCCGCGGCGCCCCACCCTCCACGCTGTTGACGTCAATCGTGCTATGGGCCTCATGGTTGCGCTCGCTCGTGGCCCCTGACTGCGCTGGCTTTGCACCGGGCTGGCACCTGCGCCGATGACGAGGCACGCACAGGTTGTAACCTAGGCCTGTGTCATTCCAGAGGTACATACGAATGAGGAATACATTGACCAAAGCTTGCAGCGTGATGGTGTTGGGGGAACGCAATCGTAACGATGAAAACGACACCCATATGGACTGCGACAGTATTCAAAATTATGTGCGATGGCATGATCAAACTGGCGCTCGGTCATTGCAACTGTCGAAGGCAATTTGGTTACGTGGGACCCAAACAAGCAAGTACTCGCATTGGCAATGGGCATGGGCCTCAGTACAGCCTCAGCCTGCTTGGTCACATTCGGCATGGGGAATGCAATAATCGACTTGAGCTTGTGGGCCCAAGGACACACTGACTATCCACATGTAATGGTGCAGCGTGGTAAAGCAGACCTTCAGGTGCGACAGAGTGCCTGGTTTATCGCTGAGGTCATGGACAGCCTCACTCGTTATCACTTGCCTGACTTTGCTCGTGTCAGCCCTCCCTCGCGGCAAGACGACTGTTACGGTCCTCGAGCTATGGGAGGCACGAGTTAATCGTAAGGCCCACTCTACCAACCGCATGTGGCTCGGAGATGGCAAGGTCGGGTGGTACACGAATTGCGGCGCGTTTGGCACTGTCAAATCAGATTCTCTTTCACGGCAGTGCCCGCGAGGTCCTCCAGACAAGTCCTGCGTACGCAGGTTAGTGTTGCTGAGGCAAGGGGTCGACCCAGGTTCCAAAAATGAATTTGGAAGATCTGCCCCCTTGGAGTTTTGTGCTGGTCAAGGCTGGTGTTCTCGTCCAGTCCTATGCCAGCTAAGCCTGACCAGCGACCGCCTGACAGCCATCCCCCATGATGTTCAGAGTGGAGCCCATGGCCTAGGCAGGGCGCAACCATTCTCCCACACTCGGCTGGGAATGCGGGTTGTAGCTATGATGCAAAGGCTGCCAACTGAAGAACTTGTGTACCACGTGCGGGGTAAGTTTCCTCTGAGTCTAGTCCGCTCGATCATTTGCTGCTGTGTGTTGATGGTGGTGGGTCGGCATGCCGAAGCCTGTCGGCGCGCCTCCGTCCAGCTCGGCAGCGTGCCAGAACTGTACTGCACGCCCAGGACTGCTTGTTCTCTTGTGCGTATCGCGGTCACACTGTAGGGAACTTCCGAGCGGAGCAATCATGGAGCAATCAAGGAGGAGGAGGAGGAGGAGGAGGAGGAGGAGGGGAAAGGGGGAGCGCGAGTAGAGTATGAGCAGGGGCAGGATCAGGAGTGGAGGCGAATGAAAAGAAAAACAAGCACGCCGATCTCAACGTCGTTGTGGCGTACTCGGTGGGAAGGCCCACTTCGTTTATAAACGGTGACTTCGCCCCCTGGGTGGCCTCACCTCCTGTTGTGTGGTGTGATGGTCCCCCACACCCTCCCCAGTGCTCCCATGTCCAAGAAACCATACCAGACGTGCTCCAGCGTGTTGGGCTGTTTCAAGCCATTATGTGGTGTTGGGTCCATGTTTTGAACACGCATCGCCCCGCGTCCTTCCTTCCGCACCTCTCCTCTCTCATCCCTCCCAACCGTGCCTCTGCCCTGGGCCGCAACGCCAATTTCGGCGCACCCCTCACGCGCTGCCCGGCCCCACAGGGAGCCCAGCCGAAGGCCCAAACGCGAGGGTTCACATGGCGGTGCTGCCTCCTCCATTCCGGCACACCCCTCACACGTTTGGTGGCCCTCCAGCTTCCGCCGAGGGAGCGATGCGCCGACGGCGAGGCCGTGATCTAGAATGCCACACACATCACACACACACACACACGTTTCAAGCATCCCCACAGACGTGCACTTTTCTGTGAGCCTCTGGCGACGCTCCGCACTTCCGCTCGGGCCGCGACTTGTTCCGCGCGCTCTCCGTCGCGTGGCTCCAGTATGCCACGCGCCTCCACCACTCCTCGTCCGTGCTGGGCTCCACGAACTCGCCGTGCGAGATGATGCCATCGGGCACCACGGGCGCGTCGGGGCAGTACCTCTTGGCCACGTAGCTCGCCATGCGGCAGGAGAGCGGCTCGCGCGGGATGCGCGTGTACATCAGGCTGAACCAGCAGGCCTGACCCTGACTCCAGATCCGCCGTGCCCTGGCTGATTTTCAAAGGCCAAGTCAGAAATGCACCCCCGACGATGCGGAAAAATATGGCGGGGATTCCCACCGCAGAAGACAAGGGCTGATCTTTCCGCAACAGCAGCGGCACGGCAGGCTGGAGGTCGGCACCGAAGGGCCCTGAAAAGTGGGGGCCCTACTTGCGAAACTGCCAAAGTCCAGCGCATCTGGAGTCAGCGGAGAGGCCACGTGGGGGGGGGGACCGGC